CTTCCTTCCTTCCTTCCTTCCTTCCTTCCTTCCTTCCTTCCTCCCTCTCTCTCCCTCTCTCTCCCTCTCTCTCTTACACATAAACATACTCATTATTATGTTACAATGAAAGGTAATCATATTTATGAACAAATGCATCATTTTTGCTTATGGAAATAGTTGGAGTATGTGATAAGCAACTAAATAACCATTATTTCTGTGAACTTTATGTTGTTCTTTATTTCTATTTAGACGTTACCTATAACTGGTGGTGACATTTAAATAAGTTAAGCAGGGATAGCTTGATTAATATCTTGATAAGAAACTACCAGATAGTACAAGAAATTTGAAAAACATCCAGAAAGCATCAGTAGCTAACCATTCCTTTATGGTTAAGAAGTTACTTGATTTTATCCATGTAAAAACCAGGAGCCAAGCTCAAATCAAGGAAAGCATTTACCTTTTTTACTTTTATATACAATATTTGAAGATTCTTCTTTTTAATTCCTACTTTTAAATTGATAATACCTCAAGGGCTAGTTCCAGAAAGTGTTCAGTATTGTTCATGTGCATCTTGGAAACATGATTTTTACAACTTAAGATTCAATCTATATGATGTCAGTGTATACATATGGAGTGGGAGAGTGGAAATAGTGAAAGTGGCCACTGTATTCCCTTTCTTTGGCTTTGACAGATGGTGTCTAAGCACAGGAATGAGTCCAGGTCATAGGTTTAAACACAATACATGTAATTTTAAAGCTGTTCCTACTTAACTCTTGGGTATATAGGACTTTGTGGCATCTAGACTGATACCTGGAAATGTATTAAAATCTACCCTTCGCTGGATGCTATCAGTGAGTAGAAGTAGTGTTAAATAATGAAGGAAGGATATTTCATTTTAAGTCATGCCACCTATTTTTCCCTTAGGAATGTTTACTTATTCATTTTTAGGTGTGGTATATCCCCAGATTGTGGTCAAAAACATCAAGATGCACCTATGATGGTGCAGTTGAAGGTTTTCCCAGTTTTGTGTGTAATACATTTGTGTTCATACCCTGTGTTCATCCCTGTTTAGATGCCAGGCAAGACCTGCTATAGATTGCTCAATTTTATCTTCATGAGTCTCATTAAGTGGCAGTTTCTGGTCAATGTTGTCTGGGCTAAGAAGCTAAGCAATATTAGACCTGGTTAGACCTTGGATGGAAGACTGCCAGCAACCTCGGGACTGTAGGGGAGCCTGGGAAATCTTTCACTTTGTTTTATCTTTGTTGTATTTTATATGCATATATACATATTTAAAATCTTATGTCTTCTATAGTATTCTGGGTTTTTTAAGGAATAATATAATATGCTGTTGTTAATTCATTTGATCAATATAAATCGACCAGAGAATTTGTTTTTAAATCTAGAACTATGTAGAAATATTTCAAATAAATGACACTCCAACTGCTGTTTAAACATGTATGAAGTATTTCCCTGCAATTTTTATAATTGCCATTTCCATTTCTCAGTTGAAGTTCTCATTGTATTGAACGGTTGTTCCAAAAGATCTAACAGATACACTAAACTTTAGATTTCAGTTTTACAAGGGAAAATGGGGTTCAGAAATTTATGATAACCATACAAAATGTTATATCTAAAAACAATGCTCATATGATATTGAATATGCCTTAAATTCAACCTTTGGGTTTAAACAAATTAGAAAAATCTCATTTTTTTTTTCACTTACTAAGTTTCTCCTGAAGTTTCTATGGACAACTTAAATCTATGGCTGGCAGCTTCTAAAATATTCTTCCTACTCATGTGGGGAATCTGTAATTTTATAGCATCTTTTGCTGTCAACATCAGTTTCTAAACTATAAGCCCTTCAATACAAAAACCAGTTATTTTGTTTTCTAATAAAGTCTGCTTTATTAAAAGCCTTAACGTAGCAGGCAGAGAACAATCATGAGGATTGCTTTTCTTGAACAATTTTTTTTTTTTTTGGCTGCCTTCAAGTCAGTGTTAACTCCTGGCAATCGCCTGGATTAGTCCCTGCAGTTTTCTTGGCATGATTTCAGAAGTGGTTGCCCTTGCCTGGTTCCTAGGGCTGCAAGAGGGTGACTGGCCCAAGCTCACCCAGCTGGCTTCATGCCTGAGCAGGACTAGAACTCAGGATCTCCCAGTTTCTAGCCCAGTGCCTTAACCACTACCCCAAACTGGCTCTTTTCCTTGAACAAGGACACACCGCAGTTCCAGACAATTCAAAAGCTTTTGTTGGTGGTGCAAAATACAGTGGCTGCCTGACTGCTACTAAGGAAATGTGTCTTTGTGGAATTATACCTCTCTGCAGTGGCTGTCAATAGTCTTCCAGACTCAATTCAAAGTGTTGGTTATGAAGTGTACAGTTCTACGGCACTAGGAGATATCAGGAATTACCTTGCCAAACCCATCTAGTCCAAAATTTTATTTTTTATTTTTCTTTAGAAAATCTATGTCACTGCCCATCTAACATGCAAGGCTGCATATAACAAGCCTGACCATATAAATCATACCTATATTGGGCTTATTTATTACCCCAGCCCAATGCCTTAGTCTATACAATCTTCCCGAAGGCCAAGAAGGTCAGAGCCCTCCAGACTCAGGAGCAGAGTGGTCCATAGTGCAGGCCCTGCAACAGAGAAGGCGCAGCTCCTCAGTCCCAGAAGATGGCATTTTTAATAGATGGGTTCTGGAGCTGTCAGCCTTCCCAGGTAGACCAGTCAGGAAACATGACCAGATGAGCTAATTCTACTTTATTGTAAGGCTACATTAACAGAATCTTGCAAGTCTGAAGGTACAATTCGCCCGCTGTCGCCTTTACCTCTGAGAAATTAGGGAGGGTCTCTTGTGAGCCTCTTGCTCCGCCCACTATGCAGCTGTGGGCTATGCTCCCTCTTATCAGACTGTTCCCTAGGCAGCATCTCTTCGCCTGGAGACCAAGTGGAGCGGGTGGCCCGTTTTAAGTTTCTGGTTGTTACTATAAAGGAGGACTTGATCTGGGGCGCTCATATTGCAGCCTTGGTTAAGAGGGCCCAGCAGAGATTATACTACCTGAGACTTCTCAGGAAACAACAACTG